AAAAGTAGACTCAATACTGTTGCACGCTAAATAGGAAAGAAGCCATTTCATGAGCTCTTTCATAATTTCACGTGACACATCCCATGAATCCATTACATAATCTTTTCAAACAGACTCCCACAATGCTAACATCTCTATCTGAAGACTTGTCATGTTCTGTCACAGCATCAGCTGCGAGCAAAGCCTCTCGTTGACTGTGTCCATACTAATTAATTTATTTACTGTGACATCTTTCAACAGTGCGATGCGAGCAGCCACAGAGAGCGATTTGGTTAGCACATGATTCCACAGCCCGATTCCTGGGGCAGCTACAAGAATGGCTGCCGCCCACTCACAGCCAGAGAAACCTTGCTCTGGGCCTTCTTGCGTAACGCAGTGTCACGGTGGCACGGATCCGCACGAGGACCATTCATCTGAGCTCTGGTGCACAGAGAGTGTGTGACGTCGGACGTGGGCCACTGTCACCTCACATCAATTAGCATCAAATGACATGTCAGCAAATCACTCCTGACCCTCTCACTCCCTCTAAAGGCTGTTTCAGAACATAGCAACAAGTCACTATATATTTTTTTAATTCGCCCATGTTACTGTAATCTACCTGAGTTTGATTCTCTTTGTATGTAATTTTCTGCTGTAAATTAGACAAATAAATATTGTTTTTTAAAAGTATTTAAAATGTTTTTATACAGGTAAAGGTTGTTCCCTTTCATGGGAACTTCGAACTGCGTCCTCTAGGGGTCGCTATGGAGAACGCCTCATCGTGACCCGTGTCTGAAGCATACACTGAAAAAACACCAACAACATGTTGGCCTGCGACAGCCATGACATCACTACCGGTGCGACTATAGTATAAATAGGCGCCGGGAGAACACATCATCCTCTTCTTCGTCTTCACTGACTGTTTTGTTTGAAGTGTGCATTTCCGTGGTAAGAGCGATCTCTTTCATTCATTATGGCGAGCACTAGCAAAGCGTTTAGAAGATACGCTTAGTGTGCATTCGTGTCATCGCTATTTGATCTATGCGTTGTTTGTTTGGGCGAAGAGCGCACACACAATGTCCTCGAGGGGGCAATCTGCGTGCACTGCAAGCATTTTCCAATGAAAAAGCTCCGTTCTCGTTTGTCTCTTTTTTCGAGTAAAGAGGGGCAGCCATCTGCTTCCCGTGGTTCAGGACCCGCCGCTGCTGAGGCACGGAGGAGAATGAGCTTGTGGGGATCACAGGTGGACCTGGCCGATGACTTTAAAAAGGGGCTTTCCCTCACGCGCTTGTCGGCTGTGAATGAGAATGAGTCGCTGGAGGATGATGTTATTTCTTTAACATCTTCTGATCCAGGGGCCAGTGCTCTGCTGGGTTCAGCCCAGGAAGGGCAGGAAATGTCTGAGGAGGGCGAAGAAGCTGAGGCTGAGCCTTCCCAATCCTCCTGCCCTGCGTATGATGAGCTCTTGGAAGTTATGGATCGTGCCACGGCGAGGCTTGACTTGCCGTGGTAGCGGACTAAGGAAGTGACGTCGCAAAGTCGTCTCGATGAACGTTATCTTTCTGGCCATAGCCCTCCAGCTCAGGTGAGCCTTCCTTTCCTTCCTGATCTCCATACAGGGAGGCAAAGGCGCGCTCAGCAGCCTTCAAATCCTTCATTCCACAAAGGTCCAGGTCTGAGCCCAAACAATCTCGGGGTCCTGGCCCGTCTTGGTTTGAGGATCAGAGATGAGCACAGAAGGCTAGTGTCGCAACTCGCGCTCCTCCTCCACCTGCGGGTAGGGGTAGGAAGAATCGTGGGTCAAAGGGAGGTAGGCAAGACCTAAGGGATGTGATCCAGACAAGGCGTCATCGCTTTCGTCCGGATCAGAGTGATACTTGAGTATCTACTTATTTCCCTCGGGGGGTTTAATATCTGCCCTTTTCTTCCCCTTCCTAATTCCCCTGTAACCACCATCTCTCCACCTGACCGAGGTTAGGTGGAAACTTCCTGCATAACAGTCTCCTACTGGACCTATGATGTTTTGGTTGGTTCAATGGCTTCATAGTGACCACCTTACTGATGGTCCGGTCTAGAGGCTCGTGCGGTAGCCCCTGTGTGACAGGCCAAGACTAGTATGATTCTAGGCTCTTGGTCGTATTCCCTTAAAGGAATCTATTCCTGATTCCAAGCCTTGAGCTCTACCCCGGACCCAGGAGTTCTGGCCCTAATAGGTAAGTTTTTTGTGGTATGTAGCCTAGGCCTTTGGCCATAGGGAATAATGTCACTGACAGCCGTCTAACGTCCCAGGGGCAACTCCCATGGCAATATGGTAGAGTTGGTACTTAATGCTCGCCATGGTCTCTGGCATGCAATCCCCTCAGCATGGTGGCGTGGGTATACCGTTCCCCATAGCGACCCCTAGAGGACGTGGGTTCGAAGTTCCCATGAAAGGGAATGTCTCAGGTTACTTATGTAACCATGGTTCCCTGAGTAGGGAACGAGACACTGCATTCTCTAGGTTTCTTGCCATGCTGCGGATGCAAGCTTCAGACAAAGAAGTGGATGATGTGTTCTCCCGGCGCCTATTTATACTATAGTCGCACCGGTAGTGACGTCATGGCTGTCGCCGGCCAACGTGTTGTTGGTGTTTTTTCAATGTATGCTTCAGACAAGGGTCACGACGAGGCGTTCCCCATAGCGACCCCTAGAGGACACAGTGTCTCGTTCCCTACTCAGGGAACCATGGTTACATAAGTAACCTACGACGTTAGGTTAAAAATGATGGCAAAAAATATTTCACGTGAATTAGGGCTTTCTTTCAGATTTTTTTTGTAAAGGTGGCACATTGATGGGGTGTACAATATTATAAAAGGTAATGTTTTTTAATAAACACACATTATATAAGTTATTATTATTATTAATTTATAATTTATACATCACATGAAATGGATGACTGTTGCTATCGGAAATAAGATAAACTTTAAATATTAGGTGAAACACTTAAAAAAGCTAATAAAAAAGCACATATCAAAATTATGAAAACAAACTAAAATTAAAAAGAAAACTTAAAATATAAAAATATATATCATTTATTCATTTTATTATATTACTTTTATTATTTATTGTTATTGTTTTATTATTATTTATTATTATATTTATTTTTAAAGAAAGTCCTATACATTTTATACAGCACACACAATTTAAAATCATATTTGTTAACTGACAGAAATAAAATAAAATGTAAATATTAGGTGGGACACTTAACATAAAAACATAAACATAAAAAATATTAAATGAAAATTTGAACTAAATTTACTACAACTAAATTAAATAAAGTACTAAAAATTACAAAAGCATATGAATTGAAAGCATAAAAAAGCTAAATCAAAAGATAAATTAAATACTACAATCATATAAAAATTATACAAAAATACATAAAACATCCAATTTGTATATAATACACTGGTACAGTTATTAATTTACAGTACTTAACATTTTCTGTTAAGTGAGGGTAACATAAACTGATTGGGAATGAATTTACTGGCCTCAGTCATGAAAACAATCAGAGAAAAGGCATATCCCTCCTGCGGACTCTCAGAGTGCAAATGTCTGCACGGAGGAGACGCTTGTCATTCACTACAGGACCTGAATGAAGACCCTCACACACACAAACAGGGCTGCAACTGTCCCCTGCAGCACATGAGTGACAACCATGAATATTTATCAGAGAGGTGACAGCCATATAGCCCGTCATGACTGATTCACATCGATTCAAAGTGTGGCCTTATCGGAACATGCAACAAAACGGGCGCAATTAGACAGGACGGAGTGTCTGATTAATGAGCCTCTCAACGTCTTGCTGATCCACATCACCAGCTGCTTTACAGGTCAGCCAGTGTGTCCATTAACAACACAGCACTGCAGGCTGACTTCCTGTAGGTACAGTCAGACTAGACTCGAAGAATGCTCAATTATTTTGGACGAATATGGGCAGTAGGATATGATCAGGTTTCAGGGCCGTCATGAACCTATTTTTTTTTTGGGAGCACCAGTCCTGGCTCACTTTGTGCCCTTGGTAAGATAAGGGGGGAAATTAATTAATTAATTAATTGACTTCTGTAAGATGTGCTACTATAGAGATAAAGTTTTAAAGTAATTCATATTCACTGCCCAACCTAAAACAAAAAGCTGCAGTTAAACAGAACTACTTAAAATCAATTAAAATACATTTAGAAAAATGCGCATGCACTGATTAATATAATTCGAATAATAGTAATAATATTTATCAGGTATTTTCCAACAAAAATAGTTCATTTCTATGTAAATTCAAATATATAATACTGGAGTTTGTTGCCGTTGTTCTATATGTTGTTTTATGTATATTTATAACAACAATATATAACTGATTTAATAAATGATTTATTATTTATGTGTATATGTTTATATATATATATATATATATATATATATAAACACAGTTTAATAATACATATTAATAATTGTCATTACTAAAAATATATTCATTCATTATTTATTAATCAGGTATATTGTTGCCATTGTTCTGTATTGAACAATTTCTGTTCAATATTAGATATATTAGGCTAGATATCAGTAATGTAATATGCCAAAAAAAAAACGACTCAATTTTACAAGCTTTGGCTGAAATCAGACATCAAAACATTATAATGTACAGTATAAAAATTAACAGTCTGAAATGGAAAAAAATAAAACCTGATATTATCCATCGGTCTAATCAGACTACAGCTAATTAACAAACTGCTAATAATGCTCATATGCACTTAATATGCACTTAACATAATACTTGATACTTTTGAGTTGCAACACTTATATCACTCCCAGACTATACATGCGAATCAACTAAAGAATATAGAGACGTAAAATATGTTTTGAGCTGTGGAATTTCTCAAATAAATTCCCTTGTGTAAACTGGCAGTAAAATGAGCACCCAGCACACAAACTGTAGAAAGGAACATATTGGAAAGGAAGTGCATGATTCTATGTTATTGGGCTACCAGTACCTCCTCCTGGTCCAACATGTAGAGCTGATTTCCACTGATCACACACAGACGAGGATTCCAGTCGGGTTGCTCGTAGGAGGGAGCAGCAGCAAAGGAGGGCTGGTGTCGGAAGGAGGGGGGGACAGCATACCTCGCATCTGGGACAGGAGGAGGAGAGGAGAACGGGTAAGGGACTGCATGCCAATAATAAAAATACAAGACAAAACTATGCTTTTATTCCAACTAGCTCAAAGTCTATATAAGCGGATTTAACCTGAACTTACAACATTTGACCAGTATGTGGCGCTGTTACCAAATATTCATCCACAAAGTTTAAAGAATCTATCCCTCAGAAGTCTCTTTTCCATAATGGATAAATGTAAGTTTAAACTGATTAAGCACAACTTTGCCACATTATGATAACAACATAACTTCCTGACTGGCATTTTAACAGAAAAATGATTGATACGCTAAGGTTTGTATTTTTAAATTGCACTTTACTCGTGATCACAACTTCTGATATTGGCCTGTTGGTTAGTTAGTTAGTTAGTTAGTTAGCTAGCTCTCCTGCATTGGGTGTTTTACTTCATTCTCTCAACCTGGCAACCTTTTCACAACTGCTTTCAGCACTGCAAAAACTAAATAAATAAAACAGAATACAATAAAGTATTTTGTGTTGTTTTAATAGAAAACAGTTATGCAATTTGGAAATATTGTAATTAACATTTTGCTGTTTTCGCATTTGCTCGATAAAGTTTTACCAATTTTCATAATGTAGCAAGTGTGTTAATATATCATAAATACTATAAATCAGGAAACTAGATGAGGTCAAATTAACTCTCTCTTGTTTATTAATCAAGATTCATTTCTGTGCAAAAATAACCATGACTATCATTTGAATCGTCATGCAGCCCTATTTTATATTTTGACCAGCATTTATGAAAAAACAAAAAAATAAGTTGTAGGATGACTTTGAAAATCAAAAGTTTAATTGGTGTACAGGTAATATGGCTGAACTAAGAAAGATGAATATTGTACGAATATCGATTGACTTTAGGTCACAAAAATTTCTGAAGTTTTAAGGACTGATTTTCTAACCACTAGGTGAGCAAAGCTATACATTGTTATATTGCTAAATATTATTACACTTTAAAAGAACTGTTTTCTATCTTAAAATATTTTTAGAACATATCTTTCAGGATTCTTTGACAAACAGAAAGTTCAAAAGAACAGCATGTATTTAAAAAGAAACATTTAAATATCTTTCCTGACATTTTTGATTAATTTAATGCATCCTGACTGAATAAACATTCAAATCTTTACAAAAAAATAAAAATCTATGGTAAAAAATTGCTCTTCACAAAGGCTCATAATATCAACCCATTACCTTTTTTAAATGCAATATCAGTCAGTAAAAGGACTGTAAGTGGGCCAACATTAATATCAGGGGAAAATCAGTTGGTTTACCATCTGGTTCTATGGGCTGTCATAGACTACCAGCCAACAACAGTCCAAAAAGACACAATATGTACAAGCTCTAAATCCATCTTCAGTTTCTTCCTTATGTCCCGTCTTGAGAGTATCATACGGATAATGTATCATCACAAGATATTCCGCTGTAAAAAAAGAGCTTTTAAAGGGATAGTTCACATAAAAATAATAATTTAATTAATGCATTTAGCAGACGCTTTTATCCAAAGCGACTTACAGTGCATTTAGGCTATATATTTTTTATCAGTATGTGTGTTCCCTGGGAATCGAACCCACGACCTTTTGCGCTTCTACCACTGAGCCACAGGAACACACATATATATGTTCCTATATATATATATATATATATATATATATATATATATATAATTCAGA